CATCCCGAACCCCGATACAACCACGGCTGCCGGCTTGAAGCAATTGATTCGAACGCACCTTCCACTGAACCTCTCATCACATCGCCTCCGTTTGATCTACGCTGGCCGTGGTCTGGAAGATGCCACCCCACTCAGTGTTTCTTTAAAGCTCCCACCTTCGCCTTCTAGAACTCCCGTCGCACAAGGCGATGCTACCACTGCCAAGGGGAAGGGCAAAGCACCCATCCGGGAGCAGCCCCGGCTCTACATTCATTGCTCAATAGGCGATATCGTTCTATCAGACGCCGATCTAGCGGCTGAGGCGGCAACAGCTACCACAATTCAGCAAGAGCAGACGGACGAGGCTTATACAGGTAGACAAAAGCAGCAGCAACAGCAGCAACCTCCGCCGTCCACTACGGCCGCCCCCCGCGGTTTTGATCGGCTGTTATCGGCGGGATTCACCCCTTCCGAGGTGTCGGCGCTCCGATCGCAGTTTATGGCGATCCAGTCTGTATCGCGGACGCCGGATACCATGCCGACTGGGGCAGAGCTGCGCGAGCTCGAAGACCGGTGGATGGATGAGGGATCATCCGCGATGGCGGCGGGCACGGGGGGCGGAGGTGAAGGCATTTCCTTTGCGGATGATGATGGCGGCTTTGGGGCTGGCTCCCGAGGTGCTATGGACGACATGCTTTGGGGCGCGGTGATGGGGTTCTTCTGGCCTGTGGGCTGTGCCATGTGGTTGAGGAGGGAGGAGGGTGTATGGAGTTGGCGGAAGGGATTGGCGGTCTTTGTGGGCGTCGTCATAAATGTTGCATTTGGCGCTATGCGCATCATGAATTAGATGACTTACTCAGCTTAGAAGTCGACTTTCTTCAGTGCTGTTTTATTTGCTACGAATGATACCCTTATGCTGAAGAATGCGCGAAGCGATCGATTGAGTGACCACTGGCTATAGTAGTAATATGTTTGACGAGTATTAATGCCTGGCGGATGCTATCATACAACGATTCATGTAGGAGTGCCTGCGCAAACAACAAGAATAAGTCATGAGAGGATAATATGGAAGAGGAATTCGTATCTACGCCTGTCCAGAACCCGACGCTAATGGAACTTGCTATAAATGACAGCAAAAATCAAAAGGACCAAAACAGTAATAATCGCGATCGTGATTATCCGATTCGTAGCCATCCTGTGAGAAGGAAAAAGTTCGAGATCAGCAAATTTGAGATCAGAAGGCGTGGATTCCAAGGAGAGTCATTACCTACGGGCCATGCCCCTTAGAGTCTTGATGCTCGTATCTACATATCCTTCACTCTGCTGCAGCCCCGATCGCGCATGCTCGATGGTCTGCCGTTGCTGATAGAGGTCGGCCAATGTATTACGGCCGATATCCTCCGTTTCGAGGGCAATCCGCTGGCTCTCCTGTAGACGGGCAGAGCTCCGTTCCAAACGTTCGGTGCCGGAAAGAAGCTGCTGCCTCTGCTCCAGATGCTCATCTTGTGGTTCGTCCGTGTAGCGGTCGCCAAAGAGCGCTGTGCGATCGTCGGAGAGCGATTTGAGCTTCCGCTTGGCTTCGTCAACGTCGGTGGCATAGTTGCGAAAACGAATGTTGACCTTTGACCGTGCTGCTGAGGGGATGTTCTGCTTCTCCATGCGCATTTGATCTAGCTGCACGTATTCAACGAGATGTTAGACGAGATGTAGAGGCGGGAGTCCAGAAAGCGCGACGAACCAACTCATTGGCCTCATCCAAGGCTTGTTCAGCCTGTCTTATTGCTGATTTCCGTTGCTCACCACTTGATTCCGCTATCTGGTCCAGCTTCTGGTTCAGATCGGCCTGTACCAGCTTCAGCTCCGTCTCATAACTGCTGAACAGCTCAGAGCCGGCATCGGTGTCTAGCGGGTTCGACATTGTCTTCGTGAATTGGGTCAGAACACAAAACTAAAGGCAGGAAAATGCGAGAAGAGTATGACTGAAACGATCTCGGCGCAACGGACCAACAGGTGTCGTTGATAAGCGGACTGTGATGATGGATATCTTCCACCTTATCTTCGTGGCGGGTCTCCCTTAACGGCCGGACTTGTCCCCCAGGCGGAAACGTTTTGAATTTTGGTAGAAGTTGTTACTTGATTTGCAGCTGACAGCCTACAGAAACTGATATAGGGGTAAATCAACAACTTGTAGAACCGAATCAACGACGACGAAAAAGAAAGAAGAGGCTGGACGATGGCAACTGCAATGACGATCGTTCATTGTTCGGCGATTAACCTCACTCCAGCCATCCGCGAACACGTGACAACCGGCCGAGGATGAAGTGTCAAGAGGTAGAATAGAACAGTTTAGTATATCTTCTCTCACTTACTACTGTTACTCAGAGGGCAAACAGAGCGCAAGCACTCTTATAATTTGTCCATACCTACTCGTACCCCTGGCATGGAACCAGTTTATTGGATCCGCAAAAAGGTACTTTGCGTTTCCATTTCTTGTAGATGGACGTCATAGCATTTCCCCAGAGGTGTCCCTCTCTTGCTTTGTCACATTTAGTCTACACCTTAAAATTCCGTCGACTCATTGCCTTTTCCTGAGTTCGTCACTGCTGATAGCTTTTGACACAATATTCGAGATCACTCTATGACCATCACGTTCATTGGTAATCATTGGTTGAGTCTCAAGTTGCTGTCATCTGATGTTGTCACACTTAAAACTCGCTGGGAACCGAAGCGGAGGCTGACCTAACCGCCGCCTCTGATAAACCTGTCGGCTGTTATCATCAGTAGCAACGTCTCCAGATTCAATCTCCGTATGGCTGGATTTCTGCTCTCGTCTGCGATGAACTTTCATCCGAACGAGGAACGGGGCGCGTGGATGATCCTGGTAATGGTATCCGAGGCTCTAACGCTCCCTCTTGGGTAGCATCTAAGTGTGCACATTGTCCAGGCCGTAGTACGGGTTGAACCGCTTTTCTGCGGCTTTGTGATGAAGCAAGCGCTTCCAGTCTCAGAATCCACAGTCATCAACATCTTGCCTTTATTCGCTGGGGCGAGCACGAGCACTTCTGTTTTCAATCGCGATGCAATGATACTGCTCCGTGGCCCCAGATCTGACAGATCGCCTCATGTCTCCCATGCAACCTAAACGTGTCGCTATTGTTGGAGGCGGATGCGCCGGGGTCACCGCGTTCTGGGCTTTACAGAAGTCTCCGCATGATGTCCATCTTTTCGAGGCCTCTGCAACGCTCGGTGGGCGTATCAAGACAATACCATTTGAGTACGAAGGAAATACGGTCGCTGTGAACACAGTGCCACCAGTATTCAATGCAACAGCTTCTCGTCAGTGCCATCCGCAACGGAACCAGCCCTGAGACTAATTCCACTGCAGCCAGCCTTGTTTCACTGCTTCGCTGTCTAGGAATTTCCACATCGACAGCGGAGTTCTCCTTTGGAGCCACCGATGGTGTTGGGGCTGATCAATGGACTGGAAGTATACTTGGGGACATTATGCGTCGGCCATGGCTTCTGCGCAAACTTGAAACATGGCGCATGTTGCTCGATATTGCACGATTACGATATACGTATCTAGACCTACTGGCTGACGGTCATCAGCGGAGTGAGGGCCATGCCCAGCACGAACCAGTGATGCGACAGCATTTCTCAAGTGAGGAATATTCAAACTCATTTTATACGAAGTACTTGCCATCAATGCTATCGGCTTTGTGGGGAATCAATGCTGGCAAGATTATAGATCTGTTGCCTGTCAAAGCCTTCGTCCGCTGCCTGTTGGACCATAGCATTCTCTGTCCACGCCCAAATAGGCCGAAATGGCAACGCATTAATGATGGAGCCAGGCAGTTGGTCGTGGTAATGGCAAGGGGATTCCCGTCTCATAGAATACACGTCAAGACCCGAGTGACAGGTATATCGCAGTCGACAAAGGAGCGTTTTGTGCTTATGACCTCTGATGGACAGAAGGCGCATTTTGACCACCTTATTTTTGCCATTTCTGCCAGAGAAATCCAGCACATTTGGGGCAAAATCCCTACTACTGAGGAAACTGAGATCTTACAAAAGTTGCGAACAGCAAGACGTATCATGGTCTTGCATTCAGACTCACCTGTGAGTAATTTCGGCTCCTCAATCTCACTGTAATGTGTCCGAACCACTCTGTATCACAAAGTACTCACAAACTTCCCAGTTCACAACAAACTTCGACCAGTCATGGCCTGCTAGTAGTTTCATAGTAACTTACTGGGACAGACACAATAGGAACCATCCTAAAGACCCTCCTGACAATATAACCCCCAGGACATGCCTCACCTGCGTCATGAATGACGAGCAAAATCTTCCAATGCAGCTCTTCGGCCCAGTCCTCATCACACTGGATCCATTCGCTCCGCCACATCCTCTGCTTGTCGCAGGAGTTTGGGAGCTCACTGATCTTGAGATCAGCACCGACACGCTCCAGGCTCTAAACTCTCTTCCTGCCATTCAGAACAAACGAGGGCTTAGCTTCTGCCTCTCATGGACGGGCCGTGGGTTTCTCGAGGACGCTATTACCTCTGGCCTCACGGTTGCCGTTGAACATCTCGGTGCCAAAGTGCCCTTTGCTATTGAGCATCATCCGGACCTCTTGGATGCAACTGAGCTACCACAATTGCATTGGAGTCTGGCAGATCATGTCATTCGGACACTACTTAGCCTACTGCGTGTCTACATCCTTGTCATTGAAATTTCACTCATCCTACTGGGTGCGTTGCGAGGCTCACTGAAGAATAAACTTTGCCTCCCGAGAAAGTGAAGGACCATTTGTTAATATCAGGTTTGGATAAATACAAGCTAGAGAAATAAAGCCAGGCTATCTCCTGAACGAGTACTGTTTGACACGAAGAGCTTATGGAGCCAAAGTATCCCTTCCATTACGTGACATAAGAATTTGCATATCAGACATAGCATACATCTTTGCGTGGTTTTGTAACTCCCTCGATCGACCAAAACCCCATTAAATCAAGTGCATTACTTCATGAAAGGAACTTCTCACTGTCCTGGCTCACGATGGCGGCACTTCTCTTCGCATCAATGAAAAGATCCTCGCACTCTGCAACATCCGCCTCCTCAATGCCTCCTGGTCGTCCATTCACGCGCGCGAGGATACTAGCAGGGGTGAGCAGTTGTAGAGCATACCGCAAGCTGACCTTGCTGCCATGCTCAGCGACCTTGTCGAGGGCAGGATCGGTGATATTAAGGCCTTCCGTCTTAGCGCGCAACCGGATGATGGTCTTGATCTCGTCAGGGGTGTAAGGATGCGTTGGGATAATGAGGAGACGCGCAAGTAGATCCGGGGGAATTCCATGCGCAGCAGTGACATCGTCTGTGCCACGAATAACAGTGTGACCCCGGTTGGACGCGAGAATGACGATAGGGGAGATGCTAGACTCGAGAGCGCGGTTGAGATAGGTGAAGCATTCGATGTCAAGCATGTGAACCTGAGAACGAGTCAGCACACTTGGAATGGGACGGGAAAAAGAGCTCGAAATACCTCATCAATGAAGAGCACGCCAGGAACAAGCTCAGCAACACCCTGATCGATATAGCGGTTGACCACTTTGTTGATCTCCTGGCGCAGCTTGTCCGTGATTTCTGTTTTCTTCGGCTTCATGAGCTGGCCCATCATACTCATGACATCCTGTCCACCCTGTGGCCGTGCGTTGGCCATGTCCAAGTCATGAAGCGTCACATCTTGCACTATTTCCTTCTTCTTGTGTACCTCTCCCTTCGGTACAGGCACGTATTCTTCCGCTTCGAGATCGAACTCAGTCGCATATGCATCGGACCGTCCAACTCTTTTGCAAGCCCCGGTGTTCGCTTCAATATAGATGACATCTCCTACGGTTACACGCTCCTTCTGGATCGCTTCGTAAATGCTAGGGTCAAGACGCAGTTTCTTGGTTCCTTTGGCCGACTTCAATCCGATAATCAAATGGCTGATGGTACGTCCGTAGCCGCCAAGGGGGTTCTCGGTTTCCTCAGGCGTGAGTTCTGTGACTTCTCCTTCGTATACCTCTTTCGTCTCGCGCACTCTTAGACCTGAGGATTTGTTAGTCGCAATATCAATCAGAAATACGCGATGAATACAGCATACCAATCGCCCGACGAAAGTTTTCCATAAGGGCCTCGGTCTTCTTGACCTCAGCAGAGTAAATTTCACTGCCGACAATCGGGCAGAACGGGACCTTGGTTCCCAGTTCCTGTGACACAGCCAGAGCAAGGGCCGTTTTTCCAGTCCCCGGACCACCTGCAAGCATAATTGCACGTCCTGCCATTTTCTTCGCCTTGATTAAATCCACGACGACACCGCAGGCCTGTTAGAGAAACATGCTAGTTAGCCCAAGCTCATCGTACAAGGCGAAGAAAAAGTTGCATGCTGCGCACCTCGCGGGCTGCTGCCTGACCCACGAAGCCATCGGCAGACGGCTCCGCACTCCCATCTGGACGTAACCCAAGGCCTTTGATGTGAGTGTGTGCCGCTGTTCTGTTCTCCCGCGAACTGCCCTTCACTTCACTGATCTGAACCATGGCGAAATATTGCGGCCTGGCGTGGAAGCTGATAGGTAATTCTCTGGATGAAACGAAAGCCTTCCCAGCCTGATCAAATATTAGAAATAGTTGTGAAGGGGGATCATGCAAAGGAAAACCTGCAGTAAGGAAACTAATGCTTTAATATCCAGCGAGGTGATGCTTCTGGCCGAAATTCAAGCGCGCAGCTCAAAGGGATCAAGCAATGATAGCGATGCGTTGCCAAGGCGGTCAGCACCCCAAAGAATCCGCCCAAATTCTTTCCCTCTACCAGGACTTCCCGATCATTTTACTAGCGGACGGTGTCTATCTGGCTACGATTCGTCTCGTCCGCAGCCTTTTGTCGGCTCTCTACAATTAATTTCCTACTGTCCTGCCATTGTTGATGCTGTTTCTATAACTTGATTATCACAATGGCCGGCCTCCAGAGTCGCTCCGCCATGACTCTTCCCTGCTTCCTCTCCGCAGCTTTTCGCAACCTCTCCTTATCAGTCCCGAAGCGCTCGTTCTCTACGACATTGGCTGCGCAAAAGACGAAGCAATTACCGGATTATATCCCTCCTTACCCCTATGGACCCAACTACATCTTCAAGCAATCGAACTCCGGTCTTTATGGTGGGACTATGATCCAGTTCGGAAACAAGATCTCGAAGGGCCGCAACGAGGGTAAAACGCGACGATTCTGGAAGCCCAACGTCAGGCGGAAGAAGCTCTGGAGTGAAGCCCTCGGAGAGTACCTCTACATCAAAGTTACGCGAAAGGCTCTGCGAACAATCTGGAAGTCGGGCGGTCTCGACAACTACCTTCTGGACGACCGGCCCGGCCGTATCAAGGAACTGGGTATTTTCGGCTGGGAGTTGCGATGGAAAGTGATGCAGACACCTAAGATCCAAGAGCAATTTCGCCAAGAAAGAAAACGCCTTGGTCTCCCCGAGCCACCGTCGTTCGAGGATTGGGTAAAGCAGAAGGAGGCAGAAATCAAAGCCAAGGTGGAGGAAGAGACCAACATCAAGGAAGTTACGAAACCAACATACAACGAGAAACAGTACTAGGAGAATAAAAGATGTGACGGGAGTTTTCTGATCAGCATACCATGGACAGTCGATTCTTTTTTCTATTCTGTTGGCCAAGGACTGGGCGTCATGTACTATTATCTTCGACTATTTTCTGGAATTCAATGTACACCACTTCAGACAAGAATCACTGGCCGGCAGTCACGAAAACCGCCCATTTTCCGTCTAACGCTTCATGTATCATATCTGCAATACAATATTGCTTGAAATATTCAATGCATATGCCATCTTCCGCGGGGCAAAATATCAGGTACTCTTTCCGGATAGCTCATAGGTCTGTGAAGATAGATGTTAAAGGCATGTATCACTCAGCTGCACGAATAGAGAAGTATCGCTGAGCCCTGCTGCAAGTCCTCTTCTTCATTGAAGTAAATTGACGCCCTTATCTCAGACAACCCACATTCCGTCTGATGGAACCTCCTGTGAGTCCAGATCGTTGATTGGAACGTGCCATATACAAGGTCGGGCGAACGATGATCCGCCGCTCATTTCCGGATTCGGCAGATTGGCCGCCTCCAGGTACGACAGTTCAATCTATACAGCTCGTCCGGTTTGGCTTGCGGATATTACTCCCACCATGTCCTGATAGGAGACATCTTCATATTATACAGAGTCGCCCAGCAAGAGTCGCTGGGGACAAAGTCATCTCGACATGCAGTTTGCTCTACCCCCTCGGAGGAGTCTTCATACTTCTTCCCACACCCGCTCCTCCAGGCTTTCTTTACAACGCAAGAAACAGCTCAAGGCCGCTGCAATTTTAGGCTTTGCTATCCTCACTCTGTTCTTCCTTTTATCGCATTTATCGCACTTCTCCCATTCGAGTACAGCGTCAATATCTGCCCCCGCGGGAGCTTCGAGCATTGTCATTGTTACGGTTCTAGATCGGGCCCGTTTCAGTGATACCTACATCCAGAAGATCATCAAGAACAGAGAGCATTATGCTAGTCGACATGGTAGGTGAACTACACGCAGTGCATCAGCTCTACTTCGGGAACCGACTAAACCTTTCTAAAATGCAGGCTATACGAATTTCTTCGCAACTCTGTCTGATTACGAACCCGCGCTGGACAACGCCCCGCGGAGCTGGGCAATAGTCCCAGCGATGCGCCATGCAATGGCATCACATCCTCATTCAGCTTATTTCTTTCACCTCGATGCTCATGCTCTGATCGTGAACCCTAGCAAATCATTGCAGTCTCATATTCTTGACAAGAATCGCCTTCAGTCTTTAATGCTTAAGGACGTTCCCGTTGTACCGCCGGATAGCATCATCAAGACCTTCTCGCACCTGAAGCCAGAGGACGTCGATCTGATTATCAGCACGGATAATGAGGACTTAAACCCCGGAAGCTTTGTGCTTCGACAGGGCGACTTTGCGCGGTTCTTCCTTGATATGTGGTTTGATCCTCTGTATCGGAAGTACAACTTTCAGAAAGCAGAGATGCACGCTCTGGTAGGTTTTCCTCCTCGTTTCCTTCAAAATGGCTGGCGATGATTTTCCTGACAATTGCCCCTCTTATACTAGGATCATATAGTGCAATGGCATCCGACTGTCCTCGCGAGAATGGCGCTTGTTCCTCAACGAAGCATCAATGCTTACAGCAAGGATTCCCCTGCTGCTTCTGCCGACGGCACTTACAAGGACGGAGATTTCATCATTCGGTTTTTCGGATGTGATTTCGATCCTAAGCGCAGTTGTGAGCAAGAGATGGAACCGTACTACAACCTTTGGGCGAAGAAGTTAAAGAGTGCATAAGCAGTTCCTCTTCTCCTGAGTTGATCTTCATGAGATTTTGCGCCTCGTTCTTCATATCTGTCTTCCATTATAGATCGGTGTTCATGGGTCCTGGATGTAGCTATCATTTCAAACTTTGGATTTTGTTGACTAATTGGGTTATATGATGAGACTTCTCTTTTTCATCACATGTTGTTTCTATAAACTATTTGGAGTAAGGCTTATAGGAGTTTGCCAGTTTGCAAGCCTTTAATGAAGGGTACATGTCTTCTCGTGAACTGCCGCAAGTGCAGTTTGACGTGCGTAGAAAGTATTTTCATGCAAGCACTCTCTCTTTGTTGCGTAGCATCACAGCAACCCTTGTTAGCTGGCAAGTATCTCACAGGATGCTTCATGACCTGGCCATTCCTGCGGGAATGGCTGGCTTTCCAAGGTCCAATCACCGGATATACTTAGAAGATTCCGGGAATTATGACAAACCTCTTGCGCTTGTACTTGTCACCGAACTCTTTGCGATAGCGGCGTTCCTTCTTGGCGGCCCAGCTAGCCATTGTAGAAGCTCCAACAGCGATGAAGAACAAGACACTCCAACTCATTCCGCTGACCAAATAGACGCCAATCCAGGCAATGATCTCGAACAAGTAATTGGGGCAAGTCACAAGGTTGAATCCGAATCCGGATGGGATGCCCCTTTCGGTGGTACCGGGTCGACGCAGGTCGCGAAGCACCAGATGGGTATTCAAATTGGCCAGTTCGCCGAAGACGAAGAGGGCAAGACCGCTGTAGAGGAGGGCTGGGTTGGGTTTGTTGGTAGCAGCAGCCGCGTCCGGGCGGAAAATCCAGTATGCGATGTTGAAGCCGGCAAGGACCCAGTAGTGACCGCTGTTCCTGAAGATATGACTGGCAGGCATCGTAGCATTGCTGAAACGGTGGACAAAGAGAGTCTCGAGCTCTCGCTTGACAAAGTGCACGGTTAAAAGCCCGCAGATCAGTAGCTGCAGGTTGGAAGGCTCGGGTAGAGGCTTGTCGAAGTTGTAGTAGATATATGGCCGGAGAGGGAACAAAAATAGAGGATGGATGAGAAGAGGCCCCAGGTACTCGATAATGAAGACTGTGCGCCATGCAATTTGGGGGCCTGAAAGGTGATGCAAAATACCAAGTTAGTTCTCATCGTGTTCAGAGAGTATAGCTGGATCAAATTTCGACATACCCAGATCCTTGACATGAACTACACTCTGATCCCTGAGTCCAATGTCATTGACATTTGTGCCCTTCGAATTGGGGACAACTGTTCGGTCGCTGCCCTTGGTAATCCTCAGACGGTGGATGGAGAAGCCCGAAGCTTCCGCGAGTGAGCTATAAATTTCTTGTGTAGAAGCATTGGGACCAATCTGAAGTTCCTTGGGAAGCTTCCTAATGGGTTTTCCTGGAAGCAAAAGAATCAGTGCGCTGCAAATGCTTAGATCGAGGATGAAAGCGCACCCCTCGGTTGAACGACCAACGTGATTGTCGACGCCATCGGAATTGAACGCGATCGCACTCCTTTCTGATCTCACGATAGCTCGTGCCCGTAAACTCGGTCGAAAGTGAGGTGAACACACTCCGCAACAACAAGGGTGAGGAGATGATGGTCGAGATTCTACTGTCTGCAGTCTTGCTGATCCGCAAATACTTCAGGCTAACAAACAACTACTCCGTAGTGTCCACGGTTTTGGATCCATCACTGTATTCAGGCACCTCGGCAAGTCTCTGGTCACGTGATTTCAATGAGTGACATGTTTCGGAAGAACTTGACGCACTTACCCTCGAGACTGAGTTGGGAGTCGAGGGCACACGACGCTGCGTTGTGCCATATTGAGAATAATTCGTGTCCTTAGACTTCCATCGAAAAAGAATGACTACGGGTGGGGGCAGGTTGGTGGGGGCGCATGCATTCAATTAACAGCAGTGAGAAAAGAATGTTTACATAGAGATAATGTTACGATTAAATGCGGCCTTCAACATGTACCTACCTAGATAGGGACACACTAATTGACCTCAGTCAGCTATCGTAGCACCAAGGAGCGCCTCGGCCCCTGCTCGATGTCAGCCTGTCAGCCGGCCTTCTCCGTTGCCTGTCGAGTTCCAGTATATGAATTACCTATGTACTACCCGCTAAGCGGACCACTGTGAATTGGACGACTCAGCCAGCC